GAAACAAAAACCATTAAAAATCATTTAACAGCTTTCAGAGGTGAGGAGCACCTACCACTTTAAAAAACAATACATTATGTGCTGGGAGGAAGCGAGTGAGCAAAATACATAGTTTACACATCACGTGTGCAGTAAACATATTTAAACAATGGACAGTACATCCGTCACCAATCTGTTTTGAAGGTCATCTGAGCTCCTTGAATTTCACTTGAATGGGTGCTAGAAGAAAGCCTTATTCTAATTCAGTACATGCATTATCATAGTAATAAACATACACATAATAACAACAGAAGTAGTTATGATTGGGGCTGCTTATACTGAAGTCAACATAAAATGAATATCAACTGAGAGAGAGAAAACACTTCAGTATTAATTCGCTGCTGAAGAGCACCAAATAAAATTGAAATTGCCAGTTGCTACATCCAATGATTTCACAATGTTCCTTGACACAGACTAAGCAGAGATGAAAGAAATTTGACAGCAATTCCCTGAAATTTTTGAAGTAAAATATCATTATGCAGTCAAAAGACTCGCCCCTTTGATAATGCCGTTCCAAATTATCAAGAAGTCAATCAAATAAGTGCTAAAAAAATAGTTTCCACATATTCATAGTGGCCTTATTAAAAGATGACGCTTACATAGAAAGAAAGGACTGCAAAATGTCTCATCCAAGCCTGCTAACAGAAGCAGCTGTATTATAGAAATGAGTTTATATAAAAGGACAAGAACCTTAAACAACCTTTAACTAGTTAGTTCTGTCCCAGACTTCACACTTCTTATCAACCTTGCTCTCTGTTCCAGGTTGGATTGACTATTTACAGTTAGGTCAACTTTATTAATTATTGTTCCAATATTAGAAAGCATTACCTTGCTCAAAGGATACACTGCCTTTGTATAATATTCCAAATAAAACTTTTTGACTTAAGAGAAAAAAAACCAAAACACACACAAAACTGGTTTTACTGCATCTTCCTCCTGTTAGCCTGCAGGAATCATACCAGTTTATAGAGAATGACTTAGAGTTGAGAGAGATGTTTATTAATTTCCAGTCATAATATGTGTTCAGATGCATTAATGTTGCCTAAGTTCTTGAAAGCAAAATCGGCCGTGCAGAGCTGTGCCCAGAGATGCTTTGGAAGCAGTCCCACTTTGCTTTCAGAATGAATCTATAGGCATCAGAATGAGACAACTTCTAAAGAGAGCACACCTAATGCAACAGTTACTGATGGTCAGCAAACAGAAAATCTAACAATGCTATTTCAATGCAAATGCTACTCAAACTGGAATGCAATTTAACCACAGTATTGACATTTAAATGGACATAAGACACAACCCAATGAAGGTAAATGTGAATGTTTGTGCTGATTACGTTTTATCAGGTATTATGTCTTTGCCAATTTTCTTGTATGCAGTAAGGTCTTCCATATTAATATTGAAATCTGTTATTGCATAGACATAAGAATGAAAAAAGAAAGGAATGAAAGATGAGTAGTACACTCAGCCAATATGGATTTAGCTGCTTTACTGTAAATTACTTCTTAAGCAAGCCTTCCTATACCCGATTCCTTCTTTGTAGCCAACGTTATCTGTATTTCACCATAATCTCGTAAGAATGAGTTACTAAAGGTCATGAGTCAAGGGAGGTTGGACCATCACTAACAGAAAGCTTGATAAGAGGTTCCCAAGGATGCAAGTACAATATGGAAATACTAGCTCAGGTCCTGAAAGCTGGTCTACCTTGACAACACTGCTTCCAGTTCAGGACATACAGCCTGTTCACATGTCTCCACACCGTAGTCAACTGAGCACTGCCTAAAGGAATTATGTTCCCATTTACCTTAGATATATACCTCACTCTGTTAAGCTTACAATAAAACAAACTATCAAGAGCTTTGATGAAACAAAATTTTCTATTTAAATATGCATCTTGTTTTAGTTCATAGAACTGCCTCATCATATAGTTTGTCATTATATCTTGCATCTTATATATCATTTAAAATAACACCACTAGAAAAAAGTAGAAAAGCATAGATGATGAAAAGACAGACATATGGAGAAAACATGAACAGAAAAGCCTGAGAAGGGAAAAATGCAAAGTAATAAACACAGATCCTATGTGAAATCAAGAGCACACAGTTGTATTGTGGACACTAGAACTCTCATGGTACCATTGCATAGCTATGTGTGCTCATTTTGAGAGGTAAAAATGTTAGCACTGCATAATTTTAAACAGTAAAGTCAAGTTTGTCTCCTCATTTTTATTTTTAATTTGCACAAAACACAAAGATTTGTGGTGCATAAAGCCATTCTGAATAGGCTGCTTAATTGGTACTGCAAGTCTAATATATCAGCTGCCTGGGGATCTGGAGAGCAGCCAAGCATCCCAAGTTCAACACACACACAGTAGTTCTATCTGTTCTTTCTCCTAACATAGAAGGGCTACAGCTACTATAACTTAAAGTTACCACATAATGCATCTTCATAAAGTTTGGTTTATAAAACCCCTCTCCAACCTATTAAAGCTATTAAATGCGATCCGTACTTCAAAATATTTTGGACTGAGAAGTACTCGGTGGGGTTTTTTGGTGTTTTGTTTTTAAACACACTTCAATTCAGTAGTCCAATGTGAAAAGTTCAGCATAGCTGGTCACTTTTTTGACATTATATTCATAAATACAGCAAGTTTTTATTCTGCTTCTCCTCAACTAGAAAGGAGAGATGTGACATGAAATCAGTAATCATATCATACATGTACCAGCACTGTCTGCATATCCCTTTTTTTCTATCAAATTTCCTTACAAGGGAAGCTGTGTTAAAGCTCCTATTTTAAAATAAGCTTAAATTTAAACATGCTGACGTTGAGATGATTCCAATAGCTCAGTGCATAGCGAGGCATTGTAGTGCGTCAAGTAAAGCTGAAACAGCTTGGTAGGATCTTTGGAAAATAAATGGAACAGCACAGGTTTAGATAAAGGCAGAATTACTTTCTCCATGTATACATATTTAAAAAAAAAAAAAAAAGAGAATACAATCACTCAATTTCTTTCTCTTTCTGACAAGAATAAGTGGTATAAATATTCCTGCAAGGTGAATTTGGGACTCAAGTACATCAAATATTTGTCAAAAGCAAACTTCTAATTATGTTATGGATTTGGATAAAATTCTTTTATTGCTTAGAAGATGACAAAGAATTTCTCTAATTAATCATTATAGTTTAAATACTGTTGTCAAAACATTAAATATTTACAAGGCACTGGGCATTGGTTTTTCACGTACAAGAACAAATTTACAAACACCTGTAATGAAGAAAATCATTACAGAATTATGTAGTATTTCACCAGACAGAAATGTTTCAATTATGACCATGTATTCATTCTAACTGATCTGTCCATCAATCTATTGGTCCCATGTATTTAAAGAAAAGTTTTATTGTACATGAGCACAGTTACAAAGCTATATGCATCACTATTTTAAAACAACAAACAAACAAAAAGACCAAACAAAAAAACCCAAACCTGTATGCTGTCCTAGAAATTTACATTAACATGCTCTTACAGTAGCTTAATTGAATAGTCACTACTGAGTACCACATCTAAATAGTGTGACTTGTACAAAATTTAATTTGGAACTATTCAGAAACACCAGCTGCAAAAAACCAGAGCATTTCCATACAAAATCCTGCCAAATCAGCATACTCCTTTGGAAATGTCTATTACTATCCACTATCTGATGCCAAAGGATAAACCTAGAGAAACGGTTATTAAGTTTTGAACTCAATTCTATTATAAATATTTAGCATCATGGGAATACTCTGAACTCGACTCCTTATTTTGCTCTGGAGACGTCACCTAAAGGAACCATTCCATTTAAAGTGTATCAATGAAATACTAGCATGTTTCTCAGTTTTTCTTAAGCAGTATGTTCCGTGAAAACAAATAATGTATTTTTCCTTCATCAATTCCTGTTTGTCTTGATTTGTACATAGGTTGTCATGCTCTGCATGACAATTGTTTCCATCTATATATTGCAGACAAATAGAGAATGATGACATTTATTAACTGATTAAACTGTTGTTTACATGAGAAAATAACTTACCTTGCAAATCCACACTGTCAACAAACTGTTCGTTTTAAACACCTGGCAAGTGTAAAATTAACTGTTACAGAATTACAGGTTTGAGCAATAAGCTACTGTAACAGATAAATACATACAGCAAGCCAAAATGCCAAGAAGCACTTAATATTGAAGGAGGTCAAGTAAATAGCACAGGATTTTTATTATTTAAAAAGAATAATCCATCAATAGTTATTGTAATAAACGTACTAGAGATTATAATTTCAGCTGCAGTTCACAACAGTAACAAGGTTGTCCTGGTCATAGAAAAAACTGGTTTTATTCCTCTCCAGTTCTTCTGTGTAATCACTTCATAGGCAAGCATTGAATATACAGTATTCACTACAGCAAATACAGAGACCAAAATTTTCGAGTCTATATACCTTACATTGGACAACAAAATGCATTTCTAGTCACCAGAATAAAACAAACCCCTGGATTTTCCAATGAATTGGTCACCTCTTTATCTCTCCACCAGAATCTGAGAATTTAACCTATTTCACTGCACTGCCTTTCTCTTTGATATCCAGGAAATTGCCTACCAGCTTCTAGTTTCAGAATAATGTGTTTCATACCACAGGCTGAGTAGCCAGAACTAAATCAACTTGACTTACACATAGTCTTTTAGCAAAGCTAAAAGAAAGACCTAACAAAAAAAAGTAGTATCAAACTACTTGCCTTGACTAGCAAATGTATGAAGTCTGCTTATAAAAAAAAGTAGCACAGAGGCATTCACCAGGTTACTAGTCTACATTGTACTATAGCCACTTCAAACTAATGAGACAGATTTTACACACGGTATCAACCACTCCCAGGGTTTTGCAGAGTTATGTTTATGAAAGGTTAACAGCAGGCACTAATATGAGTATCATGACTCTTTTCAGGCAGTAGGTGAAACCTTGAAGAAAAAGTGGCTCTGTCTTCAAAAAAGTGACCTGACCTTTGCTTTGGTGGGTTTTTACTCTGCAAGAAATAAAAAGCACTGCATGCTTTCCAATGCATCCTTTCTAGCTGATAAACTATTTTGTTCTAGCACTCGGCACAAAAGGACTACATTTTATAAAAGTCAAATAGCATGTTATTAGTGCTAGCTAACGATAGCTCCATGCGTCATACTAGAAACAAGCTTTATAGACCTGGAATATGTCATATGAATCATGAACAGAGTAAATACGTAATTGGCCAAGAACCTTTGATATGCTTACCAATTAGAAGTAATTCTCATTGAATTAAGTATATTTAATTTTACAATGACTTTGCAGTTCTTTGGATATCAAAGGCATCACAAATCCAGCATGCTTATCATTTATGACACTTCTGCTCCGAGATTTTCTTGCAGCATGCAAAGAACTCTCTGTAGGGTAACTGTGATGTGTTGCACAAGCAAGCTAACCTAAGATTGACCTGACAATTAATAAAAATCTGTTAAAAAACAGCAATAGTATGCAATGTTTTTACCTGCAATCGATGAAATGTTTCTGAAACAACCTGTAGTTCAGTATAAGCAATAGCGGTTTTATTTATTGGACACAGAATACAGTGCTAGTGAAAGTAATTCTAGTATATGATGTAGTAGTAAAGAATCCCTTCTGTTGATAGACTTTTAAGTATTTAAATATATTTAAGTCTAGTGTAAAATACTGCTTTTATAGAGCCAGATTCTGCAGTCTTTGCACAGCTAAAACTTCCACAGAAATCAATGGGAGCTTTTAAAGTATAACAGTAAGGACACGCCTAGGGTCACTAGCATAATATAGTCTGCTGCTATGCTTTATGTGTATGCTGAGACTTTCTCTGTCACTTACAAGATTATAAGAGATCAAATACAGAAATCCACGGGAATTCAAGAAGATAAATAACCTTTTTAAATGAAGAGTATGGGCTTCAAAGACAGTATGGCACATAATGTTAGTGCATTTTTTGTTTGGCTAAAATATTGAATAATGTTATTTTAACTTTGTCTTGAATATTTACAATATATTAAGTGAATTTTAAGAAGAGTGAAGTTTAAAAAAAAAAATTACAGTAAGTTCAACAACCATGACCATTTTTGGAAGAACTGCAGCAATGCCTATGATGGCAGAATTTGGCTCTGTATACTCTTTTAGCAAAAACACAAGACTGTTTGTATGATGTAAACTGCTTTTAAAAATGTTACTAGAGCTATAAACACTGCGGGCCCAGCCCTACAGGTTATACATTCAACATTCAGGGAGAGTTTGCCTCAGTGAACTACAAGGAACTGTGTTGTATTTGCAAAATCAGCTTGATGCTATTTTTATACAAAACCCAGGTGTTTCAGATTTAAACTTTTGGGTAACTAAAATTAAATCAAGGGGCTGATCCTCCAGACTTTACTCCTGTGGAGAGCCTGTCCTGCAGAAGGTTCAAGTCCTTCTGTTCACACTGGAGTATGTCCAGCCAGCCTTGCCCCAGCAAGGCAGTGCCCTATTCCCGTTGACTTCACTGGGGCAACTCTAATGAGTCACAAGACTACGGCTACACCCCAACCGCGTTGTTAACTAACGGGTTCACAGATAATTTATTATTATTTTTAAACAGTGTTTGTGTATTCTACTTTCAACCAAGCTTTGCTTCCAGCCGTAAATGCCGTCAGTTTAACGACTGGATGGTTCTGGGGTGTATTTTTGGGAAGCGGTTGTTGCCAGGCTCGCTGCTGACTCGCGCCATTGTTGATTTCGCTGTTGTAGGGGAAAGGCTCTAGGGCGGCAGATAAGGCTGTTGCCATGGTGATGAAGGAGATTCCGAGGGAGGAGTCTGCAGAAGAAAAGCCCCTCCTTACTATGACATCACAGGTGGGCGGAGCGCGGGGCTCTGAGGAGGCCGCCGACACAGCGCGAGTCACCAGCCGCGGTGGCCTGGCCTGGCCACAGCCACACGGGAGATACAAAAGGCCCACACGAAACACGGCACACGCAGACCGAGGGGAACCTCACCCAATCCTCAGGCTCCCCTCGGTGCAATTTCAGCTGTAGTGGTGCTGGCTGAACCCACCTGCTAGAGGATCTCACACCAATGTCACCACATTTCCTCACCCACATGGGGAAAAATAGCGTGGGGTAACTAATTTAATCGCTTGGGGGTTTAGATGTTTTGACATGAAAATTTAAACAAAACCACATTTTTCCCCCAAATAAAGGGATCTGTAGAAAGTACAGTATATGTCAGTTACCAGAAAGTTATTTAAAACCAATTTAAAATTTCAATTCAATGCCATCAATATTCACGCCACAAATATTAATTTGCAATGCATATATAAAACGTACATATTCAGTGCATATATAAAATAAGAAACAACCAGCATCATTTCCAGTATCTCAGATCCCATCCCGAAGCTCTCACTGGGATTCTACTCCTGGTCCAGGTCAGCATATGTTATTTTGCACGCCCCATTGCTTTCATTTCTACTTCAGTCAAAAGAAGGATGTAACATCATCATACTAAACCGTACACCTTGGAGTAGCCATTGAATCTCAGGTGGTTTCATTAGTTTCTTGAAGACAGTGACTGAACGCTACCATAAAACACAGCACTTCCATTTCACTACAAGAGCGGATTTTATTCCCTCCTGTCGGTCACATAGATGAATTTGTTCCCCAAGCAAGCACGTTTAGTTTACTGGTAATATTTAGTGCACACAAGTTGTTCCTACTGATCAGGAGGTTTAATGGAAGTAATCTTACCACATAGTTGTTCTTATGCGAGAGCCTTCAACAAAATCCACAATCCTGGTTTATTCTTTTCATGTTTTAGGATAACAGCTACTGTACTTTTTGAAAATGTTTAAGATGCACACAAGGCCAGCATGTAGTTCTCTAACAGAGCATCACAGATGCACTGCACTAATACACGTACATTATAGAAATACCATCTACTACTACTTTGGAAACCAGGTCTGGCAATCTCCTCCTCAGCCCCTGTTGAACACCATATTTTGCTTGTGGTGAACTCTAATGTCTATGAAGTAATTGCACAAAGGAAAAGGATGCTCCCTTTAAGGCATCATTTCTAATTTTCTACTAGAGTAATTAGCAAACAATTAGAAACCAACATAAAATGCTGCAAAACTTCCATTGGCTTCAACAGGGCCAGGAGTTCAGCCTGGGTTCATTAAATGTTTAATGCACCATTTGTAGTGGTTGTCTGTCAGTCTACTCAGCAATAGTCTATGATATAAATTTATGAGTAAAATGCTTGTGTCTGTTAGTCAGTGTAATTTCTTCCACTAAACACAAATACCTACTTCCCTGCTATGCACCAAAGGGGTGCAGAAGCCAAAAGGAAGCAGAATCAAGTGAAAAAGTGAGTATTTTCCATAGCCATCTCCGCATCATGTATGTGTGTTGTGCAGTTATATGACCATATTGCATACATCATTTGTGTCCTAATTGTCTGGCTGTAACGTTGTTTTGAGATGCTGTCTCTCTAGTGTGTACGTGTAAACCTCTCATTCAGACCATTCATTCAGAATAACGCCCTGCTATATTGCGATATACATTTAACCATCACCATCAAAGTGTTTGTTTCTGCTCTTTACATGATGAAACAGATGGATGTGGTTGCTGCTCACAGGGTGAAGCATGCAAGTTCCAAATTGGCCGCAAAGAAGTTTCCTAAGCCAGATCAAATTGGGTCATGAGAAAAGGGCCTGGTCTTTCCAAACTTATCACCACTGAACCCAGTAGAGGCATGTGTGTATCTTAGGAAGTAATTATTTACATTAGGTACCTACATTGCTCCATCCTTACAACTAACTAAGCAAGAAATCTCCAAGTAAAGTGAAAGGATCAAGCCCAGATAGAGTATTGGCTTTTCTAAAAGTAAAGAAAAAAAGCGAAATCTCACATTTCCAAAAATTCTTTGATGAATGGAGGATTAATTATGTCTGACTGTGGAAGCAGACTCCACAGGAAACATAAGTGGAATCTGAGATACAAAGAAGAGACTCTAAATCTCATTTTGAGATAAACAGTTAGTGATAATGTAGGGAAGTCCCTGAATTCATATTTTAAGAGATGCCTCTTTGCTCTCTTCCTCTGGAAAAATGTTAAAAACATATCCAACACAGAACAAGTGAGAGAAACATTCACATTCTATTCCTATGCCCCTAGCAAAGCCCTACTTGCAAAATATGACACTTAATTGTTGACATAAATACTTGTTGTGAATTAAATTTTGATGAATTTTGCAATCCACAGATTATTTTATATCATCAAGTATTATTTCATCTCATAAGATCTGGAGGCAAATCTTCAAATAACATGAACCAAAAAAAGTACACAGACTCCAGTGGGGCTATGCCAATATACGGCAGCTGGGGATCTTGACCATCATTCCAGCAGTAACAAGTATACTACAATAAGCATAGAGGTATTGGTAACTGAGTAGACCTTTCAGTATCTATTTTTTGTGATTCTATCTCAATTATTTTCAATGAAAGTCACTTTATTGGTGTGAGAAAGCACTCAGTAGTTGCCAAATTTAATACTGCAAGCATCAATAGAGTGAGCTTTCGGTACTAATGGGATTTTGTAGAACATAACTCTATACCATGTTGCTGTCTCCCTTTATCTTTTTAAAGATAGTTCAGAAGAGACTGGAACAAATGAAAAAAGGTGGGGTTTTTTAATATGAACAGAACCTAGGAAAAGTGAAAGACAGTTTGCTGAAGGTTCGAAGATTAATTGGAAGTTAAGCTATGAACCAATATAATTCTAACTGAAGCAGAGAAATAAATGAGAAAAAAAATCATGCATAAAAGTTTGATTTGAATTCCAAAATAAAATTTTTGTTTAAAGTTTTTCACAGCTTCTTTGTATTTGTCAGGAGAAAAAAAGCTCCCTTCAGAATTACTTCCCAGTGAGAAATTTAAACCTAAATATCACCTGGAGTCAAAGTTTAATTGTACAGTCAGCTATGAAATTCCCAATTTACTACAGGTCAGTGAACCTCAAAGGATCCGATCCAATAAAGTACTTCGATCCACACTTACACTTTAAAATATGATTAACTGCTTTATTGACTAAAAAAAAGGGCATGCTTAAGTGCCTTGCCAGTCTGATTTTAAACAAACAAATCTCACAGTGTCACAAAAGTTACTTCTCCCAAGATTCATCACACCTAATTTAGAGTCTTCATTAGAGTACATAAATCTGAAAGCTAGTGATGGTAGGATCCCTATAAAGATCATAGAAAGAAATGAGACCTGCAGGAGGTGATTCATGTCCAAGATGACCCTGTGGCAAATATATTCTGGTATGATACAGAACAAAAATGACAGTCCATGAAAAATTCACCAATAAGAAATGCAAAGTGTCTATTGAAAGCTATCCCCACTTCTGTTTATAACTGGAAAAATATGGGAGCTGCCTACTTAGAATTTACAGTAACTGCACAGACACTGCTCAAAGTACAATTTTGATATTGACTGCTTATAATTTAGAAGGTTAAACTACAGAACACTTAGGTTTAGAATTTGAACTGAAAAGAAGAAATTTAAAAAGTTAAAATTACATTATAAGAAACATGCTGAAATTCAGCCTATCCCATGAAAAACACAGGCTACAACACACAAGTTGTGAAAAAGAGAGACAGGTTTTATGACTACAGCCCAATTAACTCCACCAGATGCTTAAGACTTTTTTTTTTTAATAGTCTCTCTATGAGGTATTAGTTAGTACTCAGAGTAGGAACTTTTTTTTTTTTTAAAAGTGAACTTCATTTACATGCCATTTGTTGATCCAAGCACATTTATGTTTACCAAGGGCTTACAAGTAAAATACTCAAACATTTCTACTGCCTAAATTCCACTGATTTTTTTTTTTTGGTTGCTTGGGCTTTTTGTCTTCTTCTGGGATTTGTTTTCGTATGGTTTTGGGTTTTTTTGTGTTGTGTTTTTTTTTTTTTTTAAACTCTTTTGTATACTTCCTTTCAACTTTACAAAGGAAACAGAGTAAAGATAGCTCATATTCAGCTCCCAATGTTGTTAGTAGATTTTCTGATGTATCAAGGACTCACTACATGAATTTGATTGCATAATCACAGTTTTCCATATAAAAGTTAACAGTCCCATTTGAATCAATCATGTTCATTCTAAGCTTCTTAGCATTAGACTTGCATTGACTTACAGCCCACTCCATAAAAGTTTACTAAATAACATTATAACAGAGTGGTGGAGAGTCAAAGCAAATGTAATTGGCTTTTGTTCTCTTTTATACTAATCTAAATGAGAATTAACTCCATTTTGACTAATTACTAGACATAAATGTAAAAAAAAAAAGGCAAAAATCCTGCCAGTTTTAGATAGTGACAATAATAGTTTGGACTATAACATCTCACTGTACATTCCAATCTGCTCTTCAAGAACAGTGGCAATTTCCTCACTGATCTTAGGAGGACTAGACCTGAAAATGTATTTTTATACTCTTTTTAAAGGATTCATGGTAAATTCATTAACAGTATTTTCCATACATCTCAAATCTGTCTTATTTGATTTATTATAAGAGTTTTAAGAAGTGTCCCCTGCTAAACTCCTCAAGTCCTACTGATAACTTTTTCATCTATTACTAAAACAAAGTACAAGAAGAGTACAAAAGAAAACAAAAAAATGCATAGATGCACGCTTAGCAGTATGAATATTAATTGATTCTTTACCTCTAAGTTAAATACTGCTCAACACTATTATTGCTTTTAGGGCACTATGCATAATTTCAGCAGAAATATTCTCATGAGTATAATAAAGTTGCCTTGGCAATATGCTTAAAAGTCATAAATTGGCTGCTTGCCTAAGGTTATA